CAATGACACAGCCCTTGAAGCGGGTCTAGGCACGGTGGGTCTGGAAGTGCAGACACTGTTGCTTAGGAGGCGCAGTCCCGTCGTGGGCAATTAAGCACGATACGACCTTGTGATCGCCTTGCTGCGGCTGATGTGCTACTGCAAGCTTTGTGGTGTCATGCTCATTTATAACCCTTTGTAGAGAACAAATTACTCTATTATTTAAGACGCCTTTAGTGCGCGGCCGCTCATTCGAAAATCGATGCCGGAAATTTCGAGTAGAACGCACAATAACAAATCCGTAATTTCATTAAGACTATGAGCAGTTTACCGTAATATTAATATCCTTCCCCCAAATAGAGCCATGCCAGTGATTCTGCGGCGGCACCAATAAATTGTACTCTCGTACCCTCTCTTCTCTCTACCCCCCCCCCCCCCCGTTGGTGACAGTGGTCAGCATTCGATCGAAGCTCCCCCGCCATCACCAGAAGTTTTAAGGTCATTTTCCACTATGACGGAGCGTCGGCAGGCCATTGATATTGGACGCAAGCAAGATATTATCGCCTGGATAGAGTCAGCAAGCGAAGGCCTACCGACTCGTGTATTCCGAATTTAAGGCTGGAGTCTCGACGGAGGTTCTGTGAGGCGCTAGAGTAGATTAAAAAGAAGCTGAAGAGCGCGCCGCCACACCAGCTTCGTCTTGCTGGTGTGGGACGCAAGAAGACATCAGAATCGCTGAAGGAAATTTGGTGGGACGCGTTTATGACCGAGCGACTTAATATAGAAAAGGTTACTCGTAAGTTGCTTTCGGACATGACTCTAGCTATCTATGCAGCCAAAAATTAGAGCAAGTCGACCTTTACAGCCTCGGATCATTGGGTTTCGGATAATTTGCGTCACCACGGTATTTCACTTCGCCGTCATACAAATCTCACTACTCTCAAAGATGAAACGCAAGTGGGGTGTGCTGTGAGCTACCTCAAGTATTTGAAGGAGTCTCAAATCATCTTTTGAGATGTAACGGGCCGTCCTCATGGACGAAACCGCCGTAGAATTTGAAGATGCACGGTCGCAAACGCTCGATTTGACTGGAGACTGACACGTTGTTGGAAGGTTTACTGGATTCGCATCCATGCGGATCACTGGGGCTCTTGCTATGAGTGTAACAGAAGGAAAGCTACATCCTCTTTTGACGTGGAACAGGAGTTTCGATAATGCGATTTAAATGTCATTATGGCAACATACTAAAATCGATTACTGTGCGCGCATCACCGTAGCTTGAAAGCGAAAATACCCAATACTTCAAACGCAATACTACAGTAATTGCGGACAATTCGAGTGATAAATTAGCAATGTGTTTAGTATAGCACAATGGTTCAAAATATCGCTGACCGTCTTGGATGTTCAAAAGCGGCGGTTGTCCTCCAAGCATTTCCAAATGAATGGGTAGCATGCTGGTGCGGTCTTGAGACAGAAAATGCTTCGACCGAGAGAAAAAGCGCTCAACGCAATCGGCGATCGGAGAGATGTGCGGCGGCAGCGGGTACTCGGCCCGGTCTTGATGCTCCTCCGTGCGCTTTTCAGTACCTTCTCGGTGAAACTCAACTTCGCCACGGATGCACCGACTTGGTACCCACTGGTACGAGTCGTGAACGGACGTAGGATTATACGTTTCCCATTACGCAACCGATCGCCTTCACCCACTAAAACCGAAACGCAAGCTGACTCGAACGCTTGGTCGTGTACAATTGCTGCGTCTGCAGCGAGGTAGCCCGATAGACAAGGATACTACTCAATGAGCGCGTTCAAAATATCGCGCAGATCGAGCAGCGAGACGTCGGCGCTCTGCAGCTTGAGCGATGCCGACCCTAAGCCCTTCAGCTCCACCACAAGCGCCTGCAGCTGATTCTCTTCACGACGACTTGGCACCAGCTCAGAAATCTTGTCGCCTTCCGTGCAGATGAAGTCCTTGATTTTGAATATCATTGCGAAAGTGCTCGACCAACGAAGAGCCGGTCACAAAGTAGTTTTTTCTTCTAAGAAATATTATAAATAGAATTTAGCATAAAACAAATAAATTACACGTAAAAATTTCCGAAGTTTGACTGCGGTGTTGAGACAGCAAAATTTACCCATGATGGTGCTCAACTTGCTCAGTACCGGCTCGTACGCTGTCAAATATGTCTTGACCGCCAGGTGCAGGCGGTGGCTAGCAGAGTCAATTAGCAGGATCTCCTGAAACGATGCCACACACCCGTTCATTTAGCAGTTATCACCAGTGACGAAGAGCAAATCCGACGTCGTCCGCTCCAAATTCTCAATATACCTTGCAGAATATCCCCATGAGCCTCAGCCGTATGATCGACCACTATATCATGGGGTCATCGCAAGGAGCACCAGCTATGCTTGTCCGTCGTGCTCAGAAACAGTGAACACGGGGACGTAATGCTCCGAGCGGAAAGTCCAAGCCTCGACACTAATTCCGAATTTAGAGGGTAGCACGGTGATGATGGTATTTTCCACCTACGTTGTAAGAAGGCCGAGATACTTGACAAAAGTTTCGGTGCTAATGTCAAAGAGTGAGCAGTACTAGCGCACCGTGGCGTTCTCTGGAGACGTGAGGGGTAGGTTAAACGACACCGAAAAGTCGAGCCAGCAGTAAAGCTTTCAGACTTTGTGTCCATAAAGGCCACAAGCGTCTCACTACGAGCCCCACTTGCGGCCATAATGGCCTCAAAAAGATGATGTGCTTCTGGCGGACATGTCCAGCACTAGGTTCTTATGCGCACCTTGGACCACTGGCAGCGAAAGAAGCCTGTCGGCTTGTCTTGCTCGTCGACCAATGGAGTGCAGAAGTCGGTGATGACTTGCATCGTGGAACCCTTCCGGGCAAGAACCATACTTAAGATGGCGTTGAGGTAGCGAGAAAACGTATGAATGAGTAGCTACTGTGATTGCAATTGGATATTGGGTCAAGACTGCGCGTTGAGTAATTACAGCTTGTGTGTATCAGATTTGCCTGTCGTACCACTTTAGTATGGCACATCCGATTAGAATGAATAATATTAGATACAGGGGCTCTCTTAGCCGCGTGTTTGGTGCGCAAGGTACATCGACATGCGAGCAAGATCAACTTGCCGCTCGGACTCAAGTTGCACCCGATCTTTAAGACCGGCTCACTTAAACCCAACGAGTCGCCGACGCTAGCACGAGACGTAATCCGACACGACAGCAAGGTTGGGAAGGCCGTATTAGCTGTCATCAACGAGCGTCGGCGTAAGGGAGCCGTCCAGTATCTTATTCGGTGGGTGGAGCCGCTCGAGAGCCTGCACCAAGTGACATGTCTGATTCGAGCATTTGAAGAAAACATATCCAAGAGACCAAGGAAACAACGACGGAAATACACACGGATAATTGTGTAGCTCGACGGACTCGACGGCATTCCAAGATTCACAAAAAAAATGGTAATAATGCTCAAGCTTCAGATGAATTTTCAAAGTATACAAACTTCAAGATCATGTTCAAGCTCCAGGTGAGAGCTCAAGGTATACATACAGTAGATCAAGGGGAAAAGAAGTCATACAATTATCAAGTTAGCCTACGTCTGGTCGAAACCGGTTCTTTTTAGCGAATCAGCGGGCGCTGAACGAACCGCGCCCTCGCCAGCCACGAGCAAGCACACTCTAACAGCAGCATCTGCAGGAAACTGTCATCAGAGACGAAGCGGTCACAAGCCGTCATCTGGCACACAATCCAGTGCGACCTGCGGTGAGGGCTTGGGAGGACACTCGCGCATAGAAACATACCGGGCGCTAGCAACAGGTAGTTCAGACCGGTGCAAACACAAACGCTTTCGAGACAATAGTGGGCCTAATTCACACTGACCGTGTCTTCACAGAACCTCGAGACGGACCGGAACGGTTTTTTTGCCGGATGAAGGTCCACAGTGTGTACCACACAGCTCCCGCGGAAGTGATTGGATTTCCTATTTGAACACGCGCTCGGGGTACAACGCATCAATCGCAGTTTTCGAGTACCAACTGGGGACTCCAAAGGCGTCAGCGGCATGATCCAGCGCGCGGAAGGCGCAACGACCATCACTGGAGGATCCCATGGCCTGTCCGGCCGCGAGAGGCCAAACTCAGCGAAGGCCATCGGTCTTCCAGCTGCTTTGCTATCATCGACTAGATCAAGGTACTCCGTGAAACCGTCCTCGTCGAGAAGCCAGCGAGGCTGCCAAGAGCCCTCGGTTTTTCATACTGCAATTCTGTTTTAGATATAACACAGTGAGTTCCGTGCTACATGGGCACCAAGTCGGTCGGAGATGGTCCAGACATGCCAGCGAGAGCTTGTCGCAGGACTACGAGTTGAAGGTGTCTTCCATTGAGCTCGACGACTAAGTGACGGGCGTGGTGTGCGTCCACCAACCGACCGGGACAAAGTCTGCTTTGTACGTGCCATGGCTGGCTCTCGACGGAGCGAGTGGTTGCGCAGCAAGACGGCGAACTAGGCGAGCGTGGCGTCGGAGGAAGTGGCTGACTGAGGAGAGGCCAAGCCTGGGACTCACATCGCAAATGCTTGTTTTCTACCCACCTGCAGGCTAGCATTCTGTCAACATTTTATGAACCTGATTGGGTAGTAAAACCTGCAACATCTGCCAGGCACTGTGTATAAGTTTTAGACAACTAAAAAAATAGTTATTTATTTAAGGAAAAATCAAATCCGAGCACAATTTAATTTTCACAATAATTTCTGCTTTCTATCTGAAGTCAGATATTTGAACCGCGAGCCATCAGTTTCTTAGCCATAAGCAGGGTTCTGGAAAACCCGGGTTTTTCGAGAAAAGTGGATGGGTAGAAGAGTGCTGTGGGGTGGCTCGGTAAAGGTTTTTCACCGCTTTTACCCTTTAACATCTAATAGTTTTACAGTTGAACGTTATAAGCCTTTAATAATGAGTTGCAACTTCCCTGAGAAATACTCCGTACAGTTAATAGCCCATCATCGGAGTCAAGGTGTGGGTGGGTAGCCCCGGTAATTCGACTTACAAAAACCCCACTGGGAACCCTGGCCATGAGTTTACCTGTAGTGGTGACGACGCTGCTAGAGTGGCTAAAGGCCAATGGAGGAGTCGACAACTTGCTGGATATCCGATACCTTGGTAAACTTGAGGGTCATGGCGTTTTCGCTAAGCAGGCGTTGACTAGCGGCCAAGTAACGCTGCGAATTCCGTTCAAGCTCACGATGAACATTGAGTCTGCAGCCCGATCCGACCTTGCACGCGTACTGGAAAAGTACCCGCAGATTCCGGACGATGAGGTGCTAGCATTGCATTTGATGCACGAACGAAGCAAGCGTAGTGACTCCTTCTTTGCCCCATTTATTGCGTCACTACCCACGACGTTTGACTTGCCGGTGTTTTGGTCGGAATCCGAGCTGAACGAACTCAAGGGCACCAACGTGCTGCTACTGACGCAGCTGATGAAGCAGCAATTGCAAAGGGACTTTGAGAATATTCATCAAGCTGTGGTAGAGGATTTCCCAGAAGTTTTTGCATTGTTACCGACGCTGACATTAGAGGACTACACTTGGGCCATGAGCGTCATCTGGAGTCGCGCGTTTGGAGTGACGAGAGAGAAAAAATACCTGCGTGTGCTATGCCCAGCGATGGATATGTTTAACCACGACGTGAGCTTGCGTATCCTGCTTGATGACTTTGTTTCGTTCGATGAGGAGACGCAGATGCTGACGCACCATGTACCAAAGGAGGTGGCAGCAGGATCGGCGTTGCAAATCAGCTACGGGCAATACTCGAACGCGAAGCTGCTGTTTTCCTACGGATTCGTTGCAAAGGAGAACTCACGCCGAGCTGTGGATTTCTGGATGAAGATCCCGCCTAACGACCCGTACCTGAAGCTGAAGCAAACTGTCCTGGACTCGAATGAACTCACACGCGACCAGACGTACGACTTTTGCGGCACCCTCTTCGAGAATGATGTCGACGAGAGACTTCTTGCTACTCTGCGTGTGATTCTGATGAACGAACAGGAAATCCGCCTGTACAAAAAGGTATGCTGCCTCCTATTACAGGATTTTGGGTCCGGTACTAACCGAGTTGTGTTACTTGTCTGCAGGCTTTTGAGACATCGATTATTAGCATTCGCAATGAATTGGCTGTGTATGAAAACTTGCAGAATACTTGTCGCCGCAAGCTCGCGAACTTTGCTACAACGTACGTCCAGGAAACATTGTTGTTGCTACGTTGTTGTTGCTTGATTTACTAACCATCAGGCTTAATTAAATACTCTTCTTTGACAGTCTTGAAGAGGACGAAGCAATCTTGGCTGAAATGGCAACAGAGTCGAGCCCTCGTTTGTCATTCGCTGTGCGTGTGCGTGTCGAGGACAAGCAAGTGCTTACAGGTGTGATAGACACACTGGAGAAGTGGAAGCAGGTTCTTGCTTCCAACCTTGAAATGTATCCACCCAGCACCACCCGTCCGTAAATCAAGAAATTTTGTTAAAGTGCATTTTTTCGTTTTTCATTCGTCTTAAAAATCTATACAAACTCCCATGGAACTTTAGTAACATTGACAAACATCATATTAGTTCCGCATTTTAGTTGGTCAGTTTGCGGTTCAACAACTGTCGCAACACGCTCGATGTGAAGTACGGTAAGCGAGCATTCACCTCGTCGTTATTGAGATACTTAGCCCCACCAATGTGGCCGCTGCAGGTCGATGCACCGCAACGGCAGTCGAACTTCTCGTTCATGTCCCATTCGCTCGTGGAGTAGTCGAATGTCAAGTGTTCGCCCTCCTTAATAGGCTTGATCGCGATGAACGACACCTTGGCCTCACTCTCGGACATGTCGATGCGCGTGTTGGGGTTGCAACTATGGTTTACGAACTCCAGTCCGCCCACAAAGTCCATGTGCTTGTCGGGCGTGATCTGCACTGTAAATCGAGTGGGCGTTGGATACTGCAACAATGATACCACCGACTTCAGCGTGAGTCATCCATGCTCGTCGTCACAGAGAAGACAAGTAAAGTATCAACGTACAACAGTGCCGGGGGCAGAGCCAATGACATCGTCTTTCTTGAAGGTCTGTCCGGCTACTGCCGAGCGCCAGTGTTCATCCCTGTCGAAGCACAATTATCATGTTATCGCTCTGCAAGCTAGGTGGGCGTCGTGCTACTTACAGTTGCTCGATGAAGAATCTTCCATCCGAGCCCTCGGGCACGTAGCTGAGTTTGCCGCTTTCCTGCGCTTCGTGGCCATGACCGTTGATCTTCACTCGCTTAGCGCTGGTAGCTGTGGTGGCGGCGGCGAAGTGGCGGCGACTGATTGTGCCGAGAGAGCGCGAGGCAAGGGAAATGTTACGTGTAAACATTGTGGAGGTTCGAGACTTGTGCTTCTTGCCGCGCAAAAATGAATATGGGAGTTTGCGGGATATTTTGCAGTGCAGCCGTGACAGTGACGACGGCGCGGCCACATGCACCTTCCTGCGGACATTGTTGCGTTTCAAGTCGCAGATCGGCGGCTGAACTCATATATATGGATGTCAGTATGCCATTTATTTATGTCACAAGCCACATAGTGGAACTCATACAGCGAGGACGAGAGTGACACGTAAACGACGGGTTAGGGGTTGAAGTTTCGAAACCGTTTTGCGTCTTCAACCTGCTTCAGTTTCGCGAGGCAGCTGAGATCTTGAAAAGAGTTTAGACCCGCAAACTCTGAAGAAGTTATAGGGTAGCATGAAGCTACAGCAGAGTCAAATTGACTAATATTCAGCTAGTGTTGTCGTCAGGCTAGTGCTGTCGTCAGGACATTGTGACTACATGTATTGGGCATGCCAAAACGTAAGTTGGCGGCCAACTTCCAATGCATCCTGCGTGTACCATCATCAATCGCGAAGTGATCATCCACTTCGGCAACGTGTCACTTGCTTTGTGAAAATCGAATACATGTACATGTACTCCATAGTGTCAACAATTGACTCAACATGCTACCTTACAATTCGCTGTGGCAGCAAATGTTTAGCTGGTATTACATGTAGTACGTAAACAAGAAATCGTGGAAGTACAGTACTGTACCCATGACTCATGGATATGAGAGGGCTTGGCGAATTGACAGTTAGTTACACAGAGTTGAGTGGCCGAGTTAACAAGATGACTCTCTAAACTATTATCATCTCTAAGGACCCTAGTATGTACAGTACACCAGTTTTCAATCTTGATTCAGCAGTGCTGAATCAGCACCTATGCAGGCCTCACTGAAGACCTGCTCACTCGATGAGCTCAAAAAGGAGCCATGGCGACTGCAGATCCAGGCAGACAACACGGCCGAGCAGCTGCGCAATCTCGTGCTCAAGAATTACCACGTCTTCATCCAGAGCAACCAGTGCGCTGCCATCGTCAAGGATGACGTGCGTGTACTAGATGTCTAGATCCTCTCAAATCTACTCCGCATAACTTCTCACCAACTTCTTACTCTTACGTAGCTAGCGGAGCTCAAGGAGGAGACTACCAAGGTTGAAGAGGCAATCCCAGAGCTTCAGTTATTTTGCACCGAGTTTCAGAAGGAGGTGGCGGACGTTGTCGCCAAGCACGGCGACATCCAGTTTGTCTTCGAGCATTATTTGCAGGTGACAAGTATTTTTATTATTATTGCAGCGTTGGCTATCGCTTACATTTCAATTACCGCAATTATTGCTGTGTCTTGGTCAGTTAACGGAGCTACTGGAGATCCCGCAACTGCTAGACGCATGCATCCACAACGAGCTGTTCGACTCGGCTCTGGACGTGATTCAGTTCGCCAACGAGACATTCCAAGCCGATGAGAGTGCTGAGACTTCGCGCAATGTCGTTATTGACTGTTTGGTGCGTGAGGTGGCCGAGATGACCGGTACCATGCGCGAGAAGCTGCTGCAGAAGCTGCGTGAGGACCTGCAGTTGGCGCTGTGTGTTCGGATCGTTGGGTATCTCCGACGTCTTGACGCTCTGGTTGGAGTAGCAGCTGTGGGCTCATTGGAGTACGAGAAGCAGCTGAAGGAGGAGTTTCTTACGTGCCGAAATGTGTGGTTATCGTCCTTGAGTCGAGGCATTTCGTCGTCCGACCCGTATCAATATGTACGTCCCAGCATATCGTTATAGCAAGTTATGCCTACTGATATTTAGCACTGCTGGTTGCAGATCATCCAAGTCATCGACATTAAGCGGACGAGCTGGTTCGACATGATCACTCAGTACTCCGCGATCTTCGGCAGCGAGGTACGTCCCTGGAATCTCTTAAGTGTTAAGCTCATCAGAGAGTTTTTCTGTGATTCATCATCTTTTTGCTCGTCCATAGAATGTTGATGGCAAGGTGGATCCTCCGCTATGTCGCTGGGCTACAGCGACAGTCGCCAACTTTATCCAGATCCTTATGAAGTACGTTGAGACCTGTCTTCGACCCTACTCTTTGCTAATTGTTTTTTTTGCGGGCAGGCAACTGCCGAAGATCGATGACTTCAGCTCGATTGCGACAATTCTTGAGCAGAGTTTGTTCTTTGGAGGGTCATTGGGTCGTGTCGGTGTGGACTTCCGAGCTGTACTGGTCGTGTATTTCGAAGACCACGTACTAAACCTCATGACAGAATACTGGCGGTCCGCTTGTCGCGAGTTCCAGGAGAACCTCAAGGCGCATTCCTCGGTAGCGTCTTCATTCTCGGCATCGTCTAAGACTCCAATCGTCATTGCATCGTACCGTTCTAATGGCAGTGGCTCCAACTTCCGTTTCGTCTCCCGTTCAACAGCGAACGCTTCCAACGGGGAAGACTACTCGCCGCCACGGTGTCTGATGTCGTTCCCTTTGCTGGCGGAGTTTACCAACGCACTACTCTCGTCGCTGAACGAATTGCGACTGTGTACCATCTCGTCGTTGCAGAATCGATTGGGCAAAAAGTATCAGAGCGCGATCGGCACCATGTTGCTCACCATCGCCGAGTTTATTGAGGAGAACGGGCTGGATCTGCATGCCCTAACTGGAGAAAGTAATGGCGGAGGTACAAATACGACTTCGAGGAATGCAAGGGCAGCTGCACTTACAGACGCCGTTCGAGCGATGAATGAGGTACGGAATACTGAACTTGAGTTGAGAGGATGGCGTGTCATTTTAAGCTGATATTTGCTCGCTCTCACAGGTTATTCGAGCTGAGCTTGTGCCGTATTTGATCAAATGCTTCCATCGCTTGTTCCCCGTGCCATCGGCTGCTGCACTCAGTGCCGCAAACGCTGTGGCGAAAGAAATTGAAGGCTTTGATGAAATCATGCGCGAAGCAGGTCTGCTGATTTCTTTGCCGTCTGACGAGACCGAAGCGACGACAGAGTCTGTCGATGAGTCTTCGCTGGCATTCGCACCAGAGTTTAATGCTAGCGAAGAATTATCGGAGACTGCCACTCTGGAGTCTGGTGTTCCGGTTACCGACACAATCGAGTAAATGCGGAAAAAAAATCCGATCAAATTAGCTTTCTTGACATTATAAGGATGTTAATACTGTAGACGTTGGATACTTGGGATAAAGACACCATTTTGTCAATTTGAGATTCTTAAGTCGTGAAATAGGCCAAGTGCATGTGTTGAATGAATGATTATCACTCTCCTTGAAGCTTAAGCTGTTGGGTTTGACGAGTGCACTAATTAACGTTATCGTGAGGTAGCCAATTGTCGAAAAATCTAGGGGTAAACCTTCCACTTAGCTCTTGACCAGAGCTCAAAACCAAACACAGCACAAAATTGAAAGCCTTCATGGATGGATATACCGGTGTAGCAAGGAAACTTCCTTCAAATACAGCAGAATTGATTGACTATTCTAGCGACAGCACCTCTCTCAATTCGTTTAAACTCTTGCAACATGATGAGCGATGAACCTCCAAGTGAACAGCAAAGACGCCAGCTGCGAGGATCACAAAGTTAATCACTGTAGCCAAAACGATGGGTAGGATCTTGTTTGTATCGAGCGAAACACTCATCTTTAAAGCCAGCGTTAAAGTACTTTTCCTGAAGTTATGAGTGATCTCAATACAGCATGAAGTTTATAAGTTGTTCTTGTTGATGATGGACTGAATATCTAGCGTGGCAGCAATGGTCATCTAGCGACTTTGCGCCAATCGGGGTTGGATCTCTTGGTTAAGGGAAAGCAATGCGCAGTCCGTCATAGGTCATTTCAATGTTCAAGCCCTTTTCCTCGCCCATTTTTGGCAACTCCACGCTGTGCTTGGGGTAGTCGAAATCGTGACTCATTCCCGTAAGCAACGTCCGCTTCGGTTTGAAGGTCGCAATCTCCTCCATCACTTTTTGCAAGTTCATGTGCGTACTATGATACTTATCCAGATACAGCGCGTCAATCAGCAGAAGATCAACGGGAGGTTTGCTGGTGTCATTTAAGAAGCTTCTCGTCTCCTCTGGGATCTCGCTCACATCGGAGATGTAGACGAACCTTGCACCAACTTCGTAGCCGAATTCAAACCCGAACGACGTATATCCAGCGCCATGAATAACGGGGAATGGGAGGAACTTGATGCCACACGCCACGAACGGCTCCCACGGATTGAACGTGTCTATTTGGAGCTTGGCGGTCCATCGGAATGGCTTCGGCACTGTCTCCCCAGGCGGTGGTAAAGGCTCATTGTCAATCAGATACGGGAACTTAGATATGACATCGTGGCTCGTGGGCTCACTGCAGTGCACCTTCATGGCCTCTGGCGGAATTTTGTACAATTCTTTGGTGACTGGATCGACCGTCTCCACCGTAGCCTGAACCTCGCGCAGATCATCCATTCCCAACAGCGCATCTGCGTGGTCGTGCGTCAACACAAGCGAATGGACCGCCGAGACTCCTATTTGAGGAAAGATCCGCAGTGCCGCCTCACGGAAGGTTTTGCCACAGTCGATGAGGACATTTTTGTCGGTGTTGAGGTTCCGCACGAGGAGACTTGGGTTGAGACGGCGGTTCTTGGAGTCGGGGTTGGCGTGCGCTTCGTGACACACAGCGCAGTGCTTGCTCAGCACACATCGCATGGACGGCACCGATGAGGACGGCCCACAACCGAGGACAACCACTTCCATTGTTGCTATTATCCAAAGACAGATATCGAAGAAGGGGGATCTTGCGAAGAAGTGCGTGAAGGTACATAAACTTGTCCGTTTCGAAATGGCTAAAGTTGATCTTGTATGGCAGCAAAACACCATGGCGCTTTAGTCATTGAGATAGCTCTGAGGCGACGGCACAGACACTGGAATTATTATAAAACGGAGCAGACATAGTGTAGACGCTGGTAAAGCAAGCGACACGGACGGTGCCGTAAATGTTTCGCTATATGTAAAGTCGCCAGCTGGAGTTGCTGACAGTTCATTCGTTGAGAACGATTCAAGCATTGCCTTAAAAACAACTTAGGTTCATGAAGGGGCTTTGGTCTCAGCGATATTCAATGCTGCTGTTTGCCACTGGGTCGGTACTTTTGTTTTCACAGTGCTGCAACAAATTTTGTTGAATCTGGTGAGTTTTCTTGTAAATGACCTCTCTCAACAGATTTTTTGAGAGAGGTCATTTAATGTCGGCTCTCATTCTACATACAGTAGGACTGTGTACATGTAAGCTACATGTACTTTGCAGCAAACTTTGCTTCCGAACAGCAGAGTGATACATGTAGCGATTTGTGAATGATCTCGAAATTCTCGAATTGATCCGCCATGGTTGATTTGTGGTTCGGATGAGGCGAGTGCAGTTGTCGACTGACTTGACCTGGGGTGCTTTGTAATTATGAGGGACCGACGAGGACAGTTTATAAATACTGTAAGAACATGTAGACGAACCGCAACGTCCTCCGATAGCTCTCGATTTGAATTCAAATTCGTTTGACACCCCTTCGAATAATAATGAACCCTTTTGCAGCAGGCTATTACTTGAAGTACATGTATTGTGTTATCTGTAGCGAAGAGCTACTGGTGCCTATTATTGTACTCCGGACAAGTGGCTCACAGTGAGCCACTTGGTAGCCATTGCATGCAATTTTCAATATTGAATGAGATGCTGTTGTCGCTTCCGATTGTTATTCACCGAGGAGGCCTTCACATTTTCTACGGATCGACTAGCGCATTGCTTGTCCATGCCAACTCAGATTAAGACTCTACCCCAGCTTCTTCAGCTCCACGTGCTATTGCAAATCTATACCGCTTTGTCCTCATGCCACGTGGAGAGTTGCCCTCAGCTAAGTGCGAATCGACCGCGTGGCGATAAAGCAACTATTAATATAATAGCTCTGCAAGTATGCAATCCTGCCTGCAAGCTCGCCCTACGCAACACGTAACAGCCCTTAGCCGACACCTATGATAAAAACCACCACACGAGTGTTCTCGATCTGTTCGTGTGGGACTGAACACGTACTTCATTAACCTGTTCATGGTAGAGCGTGTGTCGTCCAACAACAACATATCTTCGCACTTACCCGAGCAACAACGACGCGTGGCAAACGCTCACTTGTTTTCAATAAGCGTCCTACAAATTTGCAGTGAATTCTAAGCGGGTTTCTAGAAGACCCGTTTTCTAGAAACCCGCCCCAAGCCACGTCAGCACGGCATTTCTCTTTCCATTTGTATGCTGCCCTGTATTCGAAGCACTTCGATCTTTGACTTCCACGTGCACCTCATGCTTATTAGCATGTCATTATCGTTTTCGCCAACGAGAAGCTAAGCACACAGAGAAGGATGAACCTCTCGAAGATAATCCTCATGGCGGCGGCGGCCTTCGTCGGCGCCGTGGTGGCCGACGACACCAAGGGTCCGCGCGGCCCCGTGATCGGCATTGACCTGGGCACGACGTACTCGTGCGTGGGCATCTACAAGGACCAGAAAGTGGAGATCATCGCGAACGACCAGGGTAACCGTATCACGCCCTCGTATGTCGCTTGGGACTCGAACGACGAGCGTCTGATCGGTGACGGTGCCAAGAACCAGGCCACTATCAACCCGGAGAAGACGCTGTTCGATGTCAAGCGTCTCATTGGCCGCAAGTACAACGACAAGTCGGTGCAGGCTGACAAGAAGCTGCTGCCGTACGAGCTTGTAAACAAGGACGGCAAGCCTTTCATTGAAGTGGAAGTTAAGGGCGAGAAGCGCCAGTTCGCTCCCGAAGAGGTGTCGGCCATGGTGCTCACCAAGATGAAGCAGATCTCGGAGGGCTACATCGGTCGCGAGGTGTTCGACGCCGTTGTGACGGTGCCCGCTTACTTCAACGACGCCCAGCGTCAGGCTACCAAGGACGCCGGTACTATTGCTGGTCTTACGGTCCAGCGTATCATTAACGAGCCCACGGCTGCTGCCATTGCCTACGGTATTGATAAGAAGGCACAGGGCGAGAAGAACGTGTTGGTGTTCGACCTGGGCGGCGGTACCTTCGATGTGACGCTGCTGGCCATTGACGGCGGTGTGTTCGAGGTGCTGGCCACCAACGGAGACACTCACTTGGGTGGCGAGGACTTCGACCAGCGTATCATGCAGTACTTCATCAAGAAGTGGAAGAAGGACAAGAAGATCGACGTGGCTTCGGACAAGCGTGCTCTGCAGAAGCTCCGTCGTGAGGCTGAGCGTGTCAAGCGTGCTCTGTCTGCTCAGGCTCAGGCTCGTCTTGAGATTGAGTCTCTTCTGGACGGTGAGGACTTCACTGAGTCTCTGAGCCGTGCTCGTTTCGAGAAGCTTAACGAGGACTTGTTCAAGAAGACCTTGGGCCCTGTGGAGAAGGTGATGAAGGACGCTGACCTCAAGAAGTCGGAGGTCGACGAGATCGTGCTGGTCGGTGGCTCTACGCGTATCCCCAAGGTGCAGCAGCTGATCAAGGACTACTTCAACGGCAAGGAGCCTTCGCGGGGTGTGAACCCCGACGAGGCTGTCGCTTACGGTGCTGCTGTCCAGGGCGGTATCTTGGGTGGCGAGCAGGACGACCTGACCAAGGACGTGCTTCTTATTGATGTGGTGCCTCTGTCCCAGGGTATTGAGACTGTGGGTGGCGTCATGACCAAGCTTATCAACCGTAACACTGTCATCCCGACCAAGAAGTCGCAGACCTTCTCCACGTACCAGGACAACCAGCCTGCTGTGTTGATCCAGGTGTTTGAGGGTGAGCGTGCTATGACCAAGGACAACCGTCTTCTTGGCAAGTTCGAGCTCACGGGTTTGCCCCCTGCCCCGCGTGGTGTGCCCCAGATTGAAGTGACGTTCGAGATTGACGCTAACGGTATCCTGCAAGTGTCTGCTGAGGACAAGGGCACGGGCAAGGCCGAGACGATCACGATCACTGCCGAGAAGGGCCGTCTGTCCCAGGAAGAGATCGACCGCATGGTCCAGGAGGCCGCTGAGTTCGCTGACGAGGACAAGAGGGTCAAGGACCGTATCGATGGCCGCAACGGCCTCGAGGGATACCTGTACAGCCTGAAGAACAACGTCGAGGAGAAGCTCGAGGACAAGATCGACGAGGACGACAAGGACACGGTGCTCACTGCTGTGCAGGACGCCATGGACTGGTTGGAGGACAACCAGGAGGCCGACAAGGAGGACTTCGAGGCCAAGCAGAAGGAGGTCGAGAAGCTCGTCAACCCCATCATGTCCAAGGTCTACCAGGGCGGCGCTGCCCCGGAGGAGGACGACGAGGACGACGACGACGACGAGCACGACGAGCTGTAGACGCACACACCCGGATCGCAGAATGCATTTGGAAAAGTTTGTTGTCTCGTTATTTCTTAAGTACAAGGTGATTTTTCCTTACATTTTTGCAACTCGTTTGCTCCGGTTGATGCAACTTTTGTTGTTGCCGGCCGCCCGTTGTCGGTAGTGTGGTGAAATATCAGCAACTTTTAACTTGATGACTGGTCGTGGGGTTCGACTTCGGTGCGGGCGGAGACCCAGATGGACGAGTGGCCGGCAACGATCTCACGACGAACGCAGCACCCAAGCAGCGATAAGTGTTGGACAGGAGATGATGTACGGGGCATGCGTGCGCGCCACCGAAGTCACAGTAAAGGCAACGGAAGCCGAAGTCAGGCCCCGGTCGAAAGACCCACGCGGACACTCGTGGTCGTCTCCACTGCTACACATGACCCGCTAGGTGTACCGTACAACATAGCTCAACTGGTCTTGACATCGATGATGGATGCTGACAGTGGGCATGGAATTGCAGAAGTCGACACTGTCCGACAGTAAGCTATCGGAGACTACGAGAACCCACCCAACCACTTGACTTCTAAGGAGAAAGGCATGAAGATTCGAGGCCGTCTAAAGTTTGGATTCAAAGGCAACAATGTGATTACTGGCAATGAGAGTTCAGAAACACCGAGACAACTTCAACAAATATCATCGAAATAATTACTCTGGGGACCAACTCCGAAAAAGGTGTTGCTTAGAGCTTGCGTACAAGTCAGACACTCTGCATCAAGCCAGCAAGAGCGCCAGGCATCCGGTGCCGTCGACAACGGAGCACCTCTCCTGCTCCGATGGACGTCGCTACAGCTTACGGAGCTCTTCGACATGAAAGGAAATGGCTGCATCAACATTGTGCTCGGTGGTTTTGCCGTCCTCACTTTTCAATTCACAACGCCGACGACACCAACCACGTGGCTCAGTACGCAAACCAGCATAACCAGCCTCAATGACAGACAGCTACTTGGGTAGCAGTTGTCGAGGCAGCATCCGTAGCTGCGACTTCCAGAGTCGTAACAACAGCGCAGCGTCGCCTGTGTCGGCTCGCAACGCTCTGCTGTCTGCGTCGTCTATCAACGCGCTCGTGACCGACCGCGAGCTGTTCACCACAGCGGCGAGTGTCGTACCCAAGCTTCGATCTGTTGTAGAACACCGAAAGGACATGTTCCGCACCAGTAGTGTGTGGCAAATGGCACCGTCAGACAGACAGCAACCGCCGTGTTGGGTCGTTAAGAAGAAGCAGCACGGCGCTGAGATCAGTGAGTTCGATCGAGCCAAACTTTCGTCGGTAAGAAGCACGGAAGGCCCCAACTGGTTTCGAGGATCGACGCGAGTCGCCGACACGCGCCACTCCATGATCGAGTCCCGCGGCTCCATCTACACGCGCAATGCGTTCCTCGGAGAGCACACTCAGTCCGAAATTCGAGCGAGAGAGCTGCTACAATGGCCACTAAATGATCTCAACGTCACCTACGCTGCATCAGCTCAAGTCACACTGAACTGCAGACTAGGGGAAGCGATGACGATGCTGTTCAGCCGCGAGACACTACAGTTCGATGCAAGCATGGACGCTCTATTCGGTGCCAGGAAGTACAAGAGCGGTGATCTACTGGTCTCACGCGAGTTCCGCAAGAATCTCGCGATGGATTTCGGAGACGACAGCTCGCCTTGTTGGGAAGACGAAGACCTGAACGATCTGTGTCAACCTGGCTGGGTTGCGCTGCAATCCGTGGTGCTACGTTCGCGTCGATCTTTGAACCCAATGGCAGCAGCTAAGCACACGAGTCGTCGCCAGAGACTTTGCTTTGCGGCGTATTCGCAGCTCTGTCCTGATGCTAACGAGGCGTTCTACACCATGAAGACTCTACCCAAGCCTATGCACGATAAGTTCACTGGCTGTAGAGACCAGCGTGCGTCAGAGCAGGCGCTTCGAGGCGATATGGACCACATTGCTGCCGGCTATCACCTCATGAGCTCGTACAGCGACTTGAATGGGCATCAGACACGGATCACGATGACTGCGTACGTCTACAGTCCAGCCACCGATCCATCACGGGTGCGTCCGAGGTTCTGGGCTAAAGGCCAGCCTGGTGTTGGCTCGGTTTCCTCTCGACGACACTATGCAGTACCGACAGCCAATGCTGAAGCCAAGTACGTCGTGAATACCCTAGCTGCAGCGACAACGTCATTTGAGCAGCTCGTGCGTCGTCGTCGGTTGGGGTACCAGCCATTCCTCCACATGCCTGCAGTCCACCACACAACCCAGGACAATCGATGCAGCGTGTGTCGAAAGAACTTTGGACTGTTACGCTCTCAGCGGTACTGCCAGCTCTGTGCACAGCGTGTCTGCCGCGAATGTTCGAGAAAGTTTGACGTGGAGCCAGTAGCACGCAGTGTGCGACGCAATCGAATTTGTTTCGCTTGTGTGGCCAACGTGGATGCCAGCGTGTTCCAACAAGAAAACCCGCTGCTAAACACATCGCTTCCTAGAGCTTCGATTGCAGAAGCCAGGACGAATAACCGAGAGGACGAAGAAGAAATAGGTGCGAAGATTTCCACCGCCTTCTACAATATCCTGCTCAACAACGACCACTCTCGTACATCACAATCAACCCAGAAGGCATCAACTTCACAGGCGTACGAGGCACAAATGCACCGACTGGACCGCAGCAGCAGTGCAGCTACCGTTTCGACGTCATTTTCATCCACACCTGGACGGCAACTGGCCGACGCACTGTTTTCAAGTGACCCCCTGACCAGGGCGCGGGCATTGGAAGTTGTGCGCCAAGTGGTGAAGCAGGTGACATCCGATTCGGCACCAACGAACTCAAATTCTACAGTTTCGTCCTCTTCGACGTTGAACCCGTCGATTCCGGTGTTTCATTCGCAGTATCCGGACAGGAAAATGGTGGATAAGTATCTGGAGGCTCGTCTGCATCTATCGAGTATATCGCTCAGTGGCGAGCCTACAGTCGCATACAGCAGCAGCGACGCTTCTCGCAGTCAATCAAGTTCGTTCTACAACCTCCAAGAAGTGACACAGCGTCGACGATGTAGTACTAGCGGTCAATGCTCATCGTCGTTCGTCCGACCTACGGTCCTGCCGCGACCATGGACCACGGCGACGAATCTGGAGACGGAGCTTGACTTGGACGATGACCTGAACTCGGCAGCGCTGGATTCAGTCTGCGAGGTTGCTGCCATCCGCATGCGTTGTTCAATCGCGTACATTGTGGCGATTAACGCCATGAACTCCCACGCTCAGCGCATTGTGGGATCTTCCGGTGCTCCGCGTCCATGGACCGAAGAGATGACGGTTTGTCCGTTCCCTCTCGTAGCTAATGGCAAGCCTTTCGTGATTAAAGATCCTGCGCGTGACGCACAGCTACGTCATCTGCGACTTGTTCGCGACATCGGCGTGCGCTTCTTCGCTGGTTTCCCCATCAAATCACCTGACGGCGTTGTTGTTGCCTGTTTGTGCACAGTAGACGCCAAAGCCCGCGAAAAGATCTCGCTGGAGGACCTCAAGGCCATGCACGCGCTGTCTAAGCTCGCCTCCGACCTGTTCGAGGAGGAGGTGAACCCATACACGCCGCGGAATAATGCTCGTTGATGAGTGACTTCAACTTCAACATTTTGTTACTTTATGCTTACTTAATCACCACTTCAATTTTTCCACTTGAAATTTCAGTATCAGTTCAGTTTATGACAACGAGAGGTTAACCATGCGCATGCGTCTTCTTACGCGCGCGCCGGTACGTTCAAAGGCGACGCCGACGTCGGCAGTGCAGCATCTTCCACCTCCCAAGCCAAAAGAAGCGTCGTACAGCAATGGAACGGGTTGGGTGGGCTTTGTGACGACGGCGGCGGCCTTGGGGGTCGCTATCCTGATGCATCGAGATGCGCCAAGCAGCGACGTCGAATGTGGGTCAAGGAGTGAATCCTGGTGGGCAAGCCCTAAGCTGGAGCAACGAGGACACTATACGCTGCTAAAAGAGCTTGGTCGAGGAGGTTTGGATGCTTTCTGGAAGAGTTTGCTAAAGGAAAGGCTTTTAATTTCTATTTGAGTGTGAAGGATTTTCCATTGTGCGTCTTGCGTTCGACACAGAGACTAAACAGGTTGGCAACACTACATGTAGTAAATGAGCTCGTGTGACGACAGTATCTGATGAGTTTTGCTTATTGATTCGTAGATGCTGGCCGCAAAGATTTTTGATCCGAAAAGCTCGTCGATGGAGACGATTCAGGCCGAGGTGCAGGTTTATTGTGGATAAATGACATTCTGGGTGCATGCTTTAAATAGTATTTGTTTTTCCTTACTGCAGATTGATATTCTGCGGTATCTTGGCGTGCACCGAAACATTGTGTCGCTGCACGATGTCCTGTATCTGAAGGATGAAACTGTTATGCTGACGGATTTGGTTGAAGGAGGAGAGCTTTTTGACTACATTGTCGATATGGTGCGGTTGGGTAGTATTGTTTTTCGTGCTTAGAACTGGACAACTCGCTGACTAACATGATCATGTGTTGTGAAACTAGGGATCTGTTTCAGAGCAAGACGCTGCTCATCTACTGCATGATGTCTGTCAGGCTCTAGACTACGTGCACTCCCGTGGTGTCTGGTAGGCTTTCACGCTGCATGAATGGCGTCATATTGAGTTGTTACACGGGTTGAAACTGCATTTCGTAGCCACCGCGATCTAAAGCCAGAGAATGTTTTGCTGTCAGATCGCTCTGCCAAGGCGAACGTCAAACTAGCGGTGAGTGAGTTTCCTTTTGCGGCATCTGTAGGAGAAATCATTGACTTACTCTCGCAACGTTAGGACTTTGGATTGAGTCGGCGACAACGACAGGGAGACCAGATAGTGGAATGGGACAGTGTAAGCATGCACTAAAGTTCTGACGGCTTAAGTTGGCGACTTACTTTGTTTTTGTGTAGCGCGTATTGGGCTCCTGAGATCATAAAACGCCAGCCTCAAGACTTCGGCGTTGACATGTGGGCTTTCGGCGTTCTCGTATGAAAGCTTTACTCTGGTTTCCACCATCTTGTTGCAGGAAAACTTACCACGTCGCTTTTGATCCTGCTCCAGGCCTATATCACCCTCACAGGAGTGCACCCATATGACCCACGAGGTGACAAGTCGGACGCGGAAATCGTAAAGGAGATCGCAAATGGAAATTACGACGGTAAAGTCCATTGCCTCTTGGTTTGGATTGGAATTTTACCCTTACGTATTGTGTGGCGACTGTTTTTATGCAGTGGAGAACAATTGGTACAAGAATCTGACTGCAGAAGCGAAGGATTTCTTGACGCGATTATTAGATTCCGACCCTGCCAAACGGTTAACTGCCAAGCAGGCACTGCAGCATTCATGGCTGAGTGGCATCACGACGTCTGCGGAGCCCCTCGACAGCTGCTACACCCAGCGACTACAATCGTATCAGCGCTTGCAGCAACTTCGAGCCAACATTTTGGCAGTCGTCATGGGTGTGCAGCACGCGAAACTGGGTAAAACTTCTGATGCCGATGAAAAGCGACTCACGTCTCGCCGCACAGCGACCGTGAATATGGACATGTTCAAGGAGACGTTTTCTCTTTTCGACAAAGACGAATCAGGCTGCATCGACCAAGAGGAGCTGAAGGGCATGCTCTTAGCACTGGGACAGCAGCTTTCAAGGTTTGGCTCTCGCTCTTAATGTTAGTACTGTAACACACCTGTGCTAACTCTCTGTTGGCTGATTGAAGTTCTGAAATTGATGAGATCATGCACCAAGCAGACACTGACGGTGATGGGAAGATTTCGTTCACTGAGTTTGTTAGTATGATGAACGACCGACTATTCCGTCGGTACGAACACGATCTCGGTTTTCGTCGATGTTTGCCACTAATGAAACTGACGTTTATCCATTGTAGCGGGGATCTGACGACTGGAGATCTCAAAGCAGCTTTCGATGTACGTATTGCAATTATCAGTGGCGATATCCTCACTCACTGCAACGTGGTGTGTTGTGTAGACCTTTGATGTGAATCATGACGGATTTATCTCCAGTAGCGAACTCGAGCACATCCTCCATGTGCTTGGCAATAAGCACATCAACAACGAGGAAACCTGCAAAATTATCCAAGCGGCAGACAAGAACGAGGACGGGAAGATCGACTACGATGAGTTCTGTGCCTTGATGCAGCAGCAACAACAGCACACGAAGAGCTAAACCATTGCTCAGTGCTTACTTCACGAAACAAAATGTGGCGATCCACTCTGCGAGGGTGAATTTGCAGCGGCATGTGAAGTAGCTGAGCTGTTCCGACGGCTTAAATGACCTATTTGAGTTGCTAAGAAATGTACTGAATCAAACGAACAAGTTGAAGCTAACATCGAATTTAACACAGCGATTGGCAGTTCTTACTGCGTCAACAGTGAGCCACCGAGTTGTTTTGCGCAATTTTACCGATTCGTTATCGGATACGCCCTGTAAATATTGCACACATTTGGACAACAACCGCCTTCCCAAACGTCAGCGAGAACGTATGCTAGTCAGCGGTGCTGCTCGTGTCCACGTCGACTCGACACTTCTCCCTCGCCATGCGATGTCGGACAGATGCTTAGCTTGACGCTGTGCTAAACCGTGGTGTATTGAAGCGAAAACGACGGTTGTAGCACGTTTTTCACTCAAAAATTACGGAACCATGTCTTCGAAATCCTATATCTTCAATGTATAGCATTCTATCACCTATCTCAGTTAAGTTATGTAAGAAAACCCTGCCTCAGATTGACAGTTATTTCTGATATACTCGAATAAGCAGGTATCCAGTTTCTCGAACTTGAAAAAAGCGTAAGGACGACAGAACCTCCTTACTAAACGCAAGTGGCTCTCCACAATACGTTACACCGTGCAGGAGTCAGAAGATGGAGGCGTCGGCTACCGCTGCGTCGCCCGTGAAGCTACACGCGGAGTCAACTCGTGCTACTGAAGAGCCCACAGCAGCCGCGATAAGCCCTTCCACCCCCACCGAGAACGACGTGGTTGAGGTGGAAACGGAGAAGAGTCCCGTTGCAGCGCAGCTGGAGCTAAAACCACACGAGGACGGCGCCGAGTCCGACAAGGCGCGGACAGACAGCGACGACGAAGACGAGGAGCCGCCACTGAAGCAGCAGCAGGATGTAGTAGCACCCGCTCAGGAGCCCACGACACCCGTGGACGCCCCAAAGACTCCAGCTGAAGAGCCAACAACCCCCACAGGAACACACTCAGAGCCCACAACGCCCGTGGAGACCTACTCAGAGCCAACGACACCTGTAGATCAACCCCCTGAGCATACATTCGGAGAAGATGTAAAGGAAAAGGAGCTGATTGTACAGGATGCGGTTTCGGATTCCCCGCCGTCGCCATCCTCGTCTACTGTTGGCATTGAACAAGTGGAAAAACTACAGATGCAGGTTCATGAAGTTGAGCTAAAAGTACAGGACGACGAGGTTTGTGGCCACGAGGTGGAGCTAGTGATCCCGTCGCCAAAACGTCCGTCTCCGCTGAACTTAGTGCATCACGATATTATCGACGAGGCGAGTGACAGCGATGATCAGGAAGGAGCTGCTGGAGGTGAAGACGACGACGAAGGAGCCGATCTAGGCACACCTTTGGGCTACGGCGGTGCTGCGGACTTTGGTGAAGGTCAAGACGAGTTCACTTCTCATCGCTTCTTGGGCCCGAGCGTGGCTTCCGACCCGTCGTCACTTCGTGCGTTGCACAGCTTACGTCGCGTTTCTCTTCATAATAAACCTCCGCGCTTCGTTAGCGAGGCAACAGTGGCCGTAGCGAGCTCAGGAAGTGTAACAAGCAGCGGCGAGTCGTCAGGACGGAACTCGTCAAGTGCCAGCGCGATCCACGCTCCAGACCTCAAGTCTGGACTGCGCTCGCAGTCTGAAGTAGACTTTGTGGAGCACCCTCTCAACACATACACGTTGACGTTTACAGAGCCAGTATTGGGCTTCAACACGAACGTGGTTGTGTCGTTGGAGAACGAGCTATTGGTCGAAGTCGAGAGTGTGGAGAAAGAGAGCCCTGCACAACGTGGTGGAGTGGTAGTAGGCGACTATCTTATCAGTGTGAACAGCCAGCACATTGAGCCACACATGACGAAGGAGCAAGTGCTTGAGATCATTCAGACGTCGACAGTGCCGCGTACTCTCGTGTTCCAGAGAGACGTACATGACAAAGAAGGCGCGCAGTCGAAAAGCCTGCCGGATAAGAAACACTCGCCTGGAAAGCCACTTATGGGACGTCTTGGAGCTGCTATGAGTCAGGGAGCGTCCATTATTGGCTCCAAGTGGAAGCGCAAGAAAACAATCGTGCATCAGAACTCGTTCTGTGATGGCTGTGGCATGGACCCGGTTGTGGGGGCGCTTTGGACGTGCAGTGTATGCTCAAATTACAACTTGTGCAACGAGTGCTACGACTTGGGTACACATGGCATGGAGAATACGGAGCAGATGCAGGCGCTGAGCGAGGCCATCGTGCAGTATAAATTACAGAAGAAGTGCAAGCACTTCACACAGGAGTTTCTCCTGTCACTTCGCCGCGATATTTGTAAGGGACGACCTGATAAGTTTGAGTATTTGGGCGAATGGATTGCTAATATTGTAGTCGGAACGGCTGCGGCCAAGATCACAGTACGTGGCATCGAGATCCCGTCTCTTCCGCCCACGGCTCGACAGCGATTCGTGTCGTATTTGATGCCGCTGGTGTCGAACAGAACCGACATTGAGGTGAATATCGAGTGGTTGCCGGACGAAGCGGACCAAATCAACGCCGCGTGTCGTGCGAGTGTAGATCGAATGAGTGCAGGCGCATTTGGGAGTGGAGATGAAGAAGAACACGATGGACCTATCGAGAACTTAGAGAAGTTGCGCATCTGGATCTCTGACAAGAAGACGCGAACAACGTCGCCATTTGCGTGAGAGAGGTCCGCGAAGGTATTTGCATGTGGTGATGTGGGAAACAAAGAGAAAAGGCAGGCGTGTTGAGAATAATGGGGGCTCCAGGCAGGACGCATTTAAGTCCCTTATCAAGTCCTACCTAGCGAGCGTAACACTCCGTCAATAATTAATTAGAGAGCCTTGCAGGGGGTCCGAAAATGATATTGTTATTTATCGTAGTAGCATCTTCACGATAAATTATCGCGAAGCTAGCTTGTATGTTGGCAATACGTTATGATGCTTTAGCTAGAAGACCAATAAATAATTGAGTTACTGCTGCAATAACCAAGGTTTATTGAATCAATAACAGGTATCTACGCTCGAGTTGCTGTGTCAAGTGTTTGTGCGTCCCAGTAACCAGCATTTTCGCGCAGGAAGAGAATCATTTCTAAAGTGGGAAGTGAGAGAAAAGAAAATGAGTCTGCTGAGATCAGCCGATTCGGCAACAAAACGACTGGTTCGTGGCGATCGATTGACTGCTGCAGATAACTTCAGGAAACTGTACGCATAAATTACCGGATGTAATATGCAGCCACCATAAATTATGCACGAGCCTAGTTTAGGGTGACAACATAAATAATGTCTGCTTATTTATTGAAATTACTGTGTCGTCAATTTTTTTTTCGGGGGCCCTGGAGCCTTGTGTAAAGAGCATTTGGGCAATTATGTAGCCATTTCTTGACAACATAAACCTTTCAAAATCGTTTTTTCGTCACGTATCGATTTGAAAATATCCTAGTCGATGTGTGGCGGTCAAAGAGCTCAATAGCCTCGGCCAACTCGATAAGATGCTCGCCTTGTTGCGCTCGCAGATGGGCGCTCTGACGCTCCGCCCGGCCGCGGGGAGCGCCTTTATGGGTCGTGTGGCACGGGCAACTCTTTCTACGACCACTGTGGAGGGCGAAGCCGCAGCAGTGGATGACGATACGGCCGCTTTCCTGAGCTCCACGTCTCCCGCAGAGCCGCGCACCGTCAAGACCGTTAAACGCTCGATCCGTGCTAGTCCCCGTAAGCTGACGTACCTGGCACAGCAGATTCGAGGTCTTTCGGCCAACGAGGCCATTCTGCAGATGAAGTTCTCGCCGAAGCGCAAGGCCGAAATTTTCCAGAAGACCGTACAGAACGCTATTAACCTCGCCGACATCAAGTACCAGATTGAGCCGGAGAACCTCATGGTTGCGGAGTGCTTTGTAAACAAAGGAACTTATCTCAAGCGTCTGAGGATCATGGGCCGAGGTGCGCAGCCTACTGACTACGATGTAGAGAAGGAGAGGTTGACTGATTGAGTTTTTGCAATTGTTGCTTTGTTGCAGGCCGCTCTGGTGTGATGCACCACCCGCACACCCACGTAACTGTGGTGCTGCGCGAGTTTGACCCGTCCAAGAAGCCGCTGAACCGCCACTTGACCAAGAAGCTTGCACGCGAGAACGCCAAGAAGCAACTGGAGAAGGAGACGACAGCGGAGGAGTAGATGCAATCTTAACAGACGTGCACACATCATGTTTGGAATGCGTTCGTACAAAGTTGATGCTACTGACGCTGCTACTGCGGGGCATTCATGTACGACCGGCACTCCACGTAGACTCGATAAGAATGCACTTCTTGTTTTTTTCGTATGCATTTCGACTTGTCTCTCTGTCTCCAACGGTACTGCATCTCAATGAGATTCTCATAGGGTTGGTTTAGACTAGCCGAGCGCCGCCGCTACGCGGCGGTAATTTAGGTTTACTTTAGATTTTTGCCTTCCCGCCTTCGCTTCGCTTCGGCGGGATAATTAGTCCAAATCCTCTGAGTCCCCCGTGTGCCTAAATCGACTTCTTAAATTTCATAAATCTGCGTTTCATTTGCTACAAAATGCTGAGTTCCCAGTAAGCCGTGTATATATTTCTACCGGTACAAAAGACTGAACCCCTAGCACATACTTACCATGCTCATAAACGCTTACGCTAGTGATCTTGGCAAAGTCTCTTTATTGTTGTTGGCTATCACTGTCTTAATCTTCCACCCAGAAGCACCTGCACTTCAGTCTAAAAACGCTAAATAATATATTTAGTTCAGCGTCGTGCTCGATTTCACGGGCCGTTTCTGAAACCTAAATTGCATCAATACAAAGAATATCTGTCCAGCTTGCATCAAATACCCGCTTGTACTGCCTGGTTAAGCTTGTAATAAACTGACTATTAACCACTTCGCATACCAAACTCGCTACTTTGAAAGAAAATTAAAAGTGTTACGATTTGAATTTTTAATAAAAATATTCAAGCTGTAGCATTTTTTATGCGTTGAAGTGTGTTCATTTTGTGCTGATTCAGAATCAGTCATTAGACACTCGAATCTGTGCCTGTTATGGTTATAGCCTTTGGATATAACGATGCGTCGCAAGACGCCTTGCTGTTGTTGTTGTTGGCGGCGGTATTTTTATTTGATACTTAAACGATGATGTCAGGATGGTTAAACGTAGATTAGGCTTTAACCCTTTCGTCACCCCCATTCATTTCTATATTAAGCCTTACATACTTTAATCAAGTTAAACTTTCAAAACCGTACATCATGTAGGGTTTTAGTATATCAATTGCGAAGGGGTTTGCGAGCTTATTAATCGCATTTGAGAGGGTTTAATCAAAACAGTACATAATGTATGGTTCAGATTGCTGCAATATGATTTGCTGAAAATAATTGACGGCACTGATGATTCGTCGAAAACACACGAAAATCTTCCTTCTATCCCAACATTGGCACAAGGTGCAGTACCGTGAATGACAGCCTTGCCACAGTGGAAGAAGGTGGCGATGCTCCATGGAGGCAGAGTGGATCTCGGAGGTCCAATTTGGACCTCACTTCTGAAAAGCTGCGAGCGAGAGGAGTTAGGAACTGAGCGCAGAGATGGCTGAGCGGGCTTCAAAGCGTCAGCGCAGGTCTCAAGCCAGCAACACACCACAGCTTTCTCGAGGTGTGGCACTTGTATAGTCACTAGACTATAGACTACGGGTAGCAGGTGATAACATGTTTGTTTTTTATTTTATGCAACAGATAATTCTGTGAATTTCAAGGACGTTTGGAAAGTGTTACGCCGTGTGGGATGGTCCTATAAACCCTCGTCGAGTAGAAGTTTGGATTTGCGCTATCGCTACGTTCGTCCTGGAGGCAACCCAAATGGAATAAATGGTCAAGACTATTTCTTGGGGGAAGAAGCACTTGTTGGGTACTTCAACAGTGCGTATGCAGATGAAGCACCTTACGTGAAAACTGGTAACTCGGTCGGAGTATTGCATAGTGCTAATGTAGGTACGAAGAGCAGTGCGATTGATGAGCTTGATGCCCTACAAGTTGGTGCTACAGCTGGAAATGTTGCTTCAATACCTGAGCAAGGAGATATAAGTTTGGATACTTGTGACAAGGACGACGACAGACGCACTAGACAGCTAGATGGTAATCCTGTGGCTCACACGATACCAAAAGCTACTATTGGTGTCGTGGATGAACAAATATGTGTTCATACGTCTACTGTCGATGAACCTCAGCAATCACGTACAAAGTCTACTGTTTCGACTCCAATATGTCCAGTTTGTGAATCACCGTGCTCGACCCAGCGGTCGTGCACGACGTGTGGAGCATTTATGCATCATTTTTGCTCTCATGATGTTTGTGCAGCACTTGAGCTGTACGACCCGGACGGACAGCAGATACTGGATTTTGGAGACGCTTCGTTCTGCAGTAAGCAGTGCTATCGAGAAAAAGCAGCACCGGTCGTGATGAACATGAGTGGGCAAAACCAGGGGGGTACAACTGGGTTGGTTTCGGGAGTAACTACGTCGAGTGTTGCTACATCGCACAGTGATATCCACCTCCAAGGACAATCACAGTCGGAAGGAGTACTAATACGAACGAGTGAAGCCAAGTCAAACCCGCCACCTCTACTACCAGTTAAACGCAAGCCGAAACCAGCAACTCGTAAGACAGACCAACCACGAACAGCAACTGAAGAGAACGCAAAATCACGAGTTAGCAGTACTCGAAAGAACTCAAAATCAGCTGAACGCTCGCAATCGAAAGGAAAACAAAAAATTTCAAACGCAAATGCTACTGCATTTCGTAAAGAACTCGCAATACGGGCGGAAGCTACCGCAAACAGATACGTTGGAGCCAGTGTGGCGTTTTCGCCAGCTGAGGAAACCTGGATGGAGCGCAAATATTATAGCGATGTCGGCTCAACTTATCTGATTGGCGTAGTGACTCGTCACATCCTTGAAAATAAAAAAAATGGTGATGGTGTGGCTGTGCCAACCTTGTCGTTTGAAGTACGATGGACAAATACCGCTTTTCAAACAAAACATCACGTTCATCAGATCGAAGAAGATGTCGTATGTCGCGGCGTAAAACACTACGTGGCTATACATCAGAACAGTGCTGAATTTGGTGAATCTTGGAGTGCGCTTTGCAGTATGGTGCCAAAGTATACGAACATACCTCAACTTACAGATGAATTTGACGAAGTACAAGAAAGTGAATATCGTGAGTGGTCGGTCTTTCGAAGCCAGAAAGAGCTTCAAATTGATTTGTGTCCAGCAGAAGTCGAGCTTATCCAAGGTATGACATTCTCACCTACGGCTTCGCTTGACGAAGTACCAGGCCTGTTTGCTCACCCCGATGGGTCTACAACCACAAAATTACGCGAAGAAAGTAAACATCTTTTTGGAAAAAGTGCAAGCTCGAGTTTCTTTGCGTTTATCCCTATTTCGTTTTGGAAACAAGTGGTGACTTTTTCAAACGGTCGTGCTGCAGAAACCTCTGGTCAACTTGGAGCACCTATTGAGCTGGAAGAATTGATGATATTTCTTGGGATTCAGTGGTACATGACACTTGTCGACAAGGGCGAGATGCGAAATTATTGGTTTGACAATGAAGACTCAAATATTTTTCCTGGACAATCGTCGACAAGTTTGGCTACTGTTATGAGCTGGAAAAGGTATCTATACATTAGAAAAAATTTATCGTTTCGCCCTCGTACAAGTGCTGAGGAGCTGTCGAGTGATCCTGCAGCAAGTATACGTCCTCTGATAACAATTTTGAAAATAAGATGCTGCCGTCACGTTATTCCGGGGCGAGATGTGGCTGTGGACGAAGCGAGTATTGCGAGTAAATCAAAGTACGCCAGGCACATCATCGTCTATAATCCACGCAAGCCGACTGGAAAATATCACTTCAAATTGTATGTCTGCTGCTGTTCGACGACATGGATTGTCCTTGATTTCAAACTTCACTGCTCCAGTGACCTGAAAAATCGCCTAGCAAATGTAATTTCTCCTGCGGAAATAGATCGTCTTGCGGCGTTGACAGAAAAGTCTTCAGAGATTCGGAAACATGTCATTGAAGTCACAAATTCGCTAAGAGGTTCGAGGCGGGTGGTAAACACTGATAACTTCTACACATCGTGTTTATTGCTGGAAAGCCTGAGAACGGTTGGTCTTTACGGGCGAGGCACCGTCCGTTCTTCCAGTAAACACTTCCCGCGTTATACGATGGTTGGGTCGACCGATACTAAGAGAGGCACCATGAAGCAAGGGGTGTGCGTGGAAAAACACATCGTGGCGGCTAGTTGGGTGGATGGATCGGTAGTCAATGTCATTTCAAATGCTGATGACTCGGGTACCACAACTGTATATCGACGGATTCGACAACAGCAGGAGCCCTTTAAAGCCCCAAAATGCGTCAGTGAATACAACACCGCGATGCAAGGAGTAGATCGTCACGACCAACTACGGGGTAGATTTTCTGTGGCCAATGGTCACACGTTTAAGAAGTGGTATAAAAAGCTGGCTATGGCGATGATTGACATCGCGCGATGTAATGCTTACATATGCCATCAAATGGCTCGCCGTAGCAATCACTCGGGATTCAGTGATGGCGAAGATAGTCCGGAATCGAGTCGTCGAGACGAGCACCGTGCATTTGTCGCAAGCCTTGTTCGCGAAATGTTCGATGGAACGTGGAAAGAGTCTCTTAGTGACGATGATGGGATGCTATTTGCCAATAGCAACGATGGACCTACTTCTTCTCTTTGTCATGCTGCTAACACTGCTGTTTCGAGTGGTACCAATGACGTATGCGTGGCACGGGAGTCATGGATAGCACTAAAAGATCGAAGTCGAGCGATGCGTGAGTGTACTGTGTGTCGCTTTGAATGCAGAAATCCAACTCAAAAGACAGACTACTGCGAAAAGCACAAAGTTGCTTTGTGCAAACGCACCTACCCAATCGATAAATCCAAGCCACATCTTTGTCAAGAAGCGTCATGGTCATGCTGGCAGAAGTACCATGGATATTATCTGCCTAATCTGGTCTACAATCTCGAAGGTCATCTCATGCGAAGCTCTTCGATATACAAAATGCAGGCACCTTTCCTCCGATCAAATGCAAGCAAGAGGACTACGCGTTAGGCTCACGTGGCTCACGTGACCGCTGGTCACTAGT